TTTATCTTCATCATAATGGTTTCAACAAAAATCAATTTGAACCATCACTCTATATAAAGAAGAAAGGAGAAGATTTTCTAATAGTTTGTCTCTATGTTGATGATTTGATTTATGCAGGAACAAGTAAAGATATGGTTGCAAAATTCAAAACTACTATGATGAAAGAATTTGAAATGTCAGATCTTGGCTTAATGAGATAATTTTTTAGCATTCAAGTGAAGTAATCTTTAAGGAAAATTTTTATTTCCTAAGAAAAGTATGTTACAAATCTCTTAAAGAAATTCAAAATGTCAAAATGTAAACCACTAGAATTTCAAATGGCAACAAATGAGAAATTATTACACGATGATGAAGCAGCAAAGATTGATTCAAAATATTTCAAAATTCAAGACCTCTTATACTTTATTTTGTCAACATTATCTCTAGATTTATGGAGAATCCTAACAACCTTAATCTTATAGTAGCTAAGAGGATCTTGCAATATCTTCAAGGAACTAAGAATCATAGTATTTTGTATAAACAGCAAAATAAAAACAAGTTAATTGGTTATTCTTACCGTGATTGGACATAAAGCTATGATGATAGAAAAAGTATGTCCGGTTATATGTTCTGTCTTGAAACAAATATGATCTTTTAGTGTTCAAAGAAAGAGGATTTTATAGCTTTATTTTTTGCAAAGATAGAATATATTGATACACATGAAGTTGTTTGTCGGTTAGTATGGTTTAGAAGAATTCTTTATGATTTGCAGCAAAATGTTCTTGATCCTATCTCTATATTATGTGATAATATATCAACAATTGCAATGACTAAGAATCCAATTTTTTATGCAAAAATTCAATTTTTTATGCAAGATCAAAACACACAGAGTTGAGGCATCATTTCATTAGAGAGATGCCCAGTAAGAAGGAGATTCAGCAGGAGTTTATCAACACTAATTATCAACTTGCGAACATCCTTACCATGTTATTCGAGTTGAGAAGTTTCAACAATTCAAAGAGTTTTTGAAGATTATAAATTAAGAGGGAGTGTTAAATGTAATTTGTAGTGACAAATGTCTTTTATTGTTAGTTTTATGGCTCTTGTTCTACTGGTTTTCTTTGGATTATGAAAGTCTAAGTGTTTCTAAACTTCATTAATTCAGTCCTTGTTATATATTCTTTTCCTCTTCTCTGTATTTTGTTAAGTGAAAAAACAGAACAAAAGAATAATAAGATTATTTCTGGTATTGAGCTGCAACTCTACCATTTATCCTTCAAATCCTCTTTCTTCTCTGTTTCCGCTTTTATTTCCAACAGAAAGAACATTTGATCATTAGAATCGGTGGATTGAGTTTTGAAATATCCAATCTGCCAACAATGAAAAAATGCAAAATTATTGTCGTGAAATGACAGCATTTGTTCCGGATTTGTGTTACAGTTAAAGAAGGTATATATGGAAATTTCATAGGGAGTCTGCGTATACAGAAACTGTGTACGGAAACCCTATAAATCATTTTGGATAAAGCATTTTGAGATCAATGCCTTCAAAATTATCCGAAGGTCAACATGACATTGTTTGGTATTCCAAAGTCGTGTGGGTGTTTGATTTTCCTACAGGAATTTGAGGAGTTAGTTCAACTACTCGATGAAACAGTTGAATGCATTAATTGATACTGATACACGCGAGCTTGATGGATCTACCATGGACCCAAAAGCCACATGTTGCCGCTGATCTATTGCCTTCTGCAGTAGAATTAACTCCATGCTACTGCATGAAGTAATTGTTGTACGAATTTCCAACAAATTCGTGCAAGGAATGAGAAGCTAAGAATTAATGAACAGTAAAATAACATCACAGTAGCTAGCTAAAAGAAAACCCACTCTAACTTTTCACTGCTCTACCCTCCCTTCCAGCGGACACTGCGCCATTGCCCAGGGAACTGTAGTTTGTTTTTTCTTTATTATTAATATATAATTTCATCATCGAGTTTTATTTTTATTTTTTTACGATTTGATGCTCACAAGTTAATTATGTTTGCATGGCTTTTTATGTAAGGCTTTTTTTTTTTTTTGCTTGCTCTTCAATGTGTAAAGTGTTTAAAAAATATTCTGATATTAAATTAAAAATCAATATTTTAAAATAAAATTTTAAGTTATATTTTAAATCAGCACTCGAGAAGGATCAACTGATCTTACATTTATTACAAAGAGTGACATGTTCGCAAATCCAGTTGCACCAACAAAACACCAAGAATGTTAATCACCTCTGCGGACGTGCATTTTTCCTTGCTGTGGATTCTCATGTAAGCTTGCGGGCTGATGATGTTTGGAACAGGTAAGGACATGGAACGTGGCAAGATGAGTTTTAATTAATGACATTGAATTCTGTGGGGCATTATAAGCTGGGTCGTGGGATCGACTGGTTGATTAGGGTTTCATGCGGTAACATGAAGGTTGGGCTTTCATGGAGTGGTGATCAATCTGGGAACTTGAATATTGGAGGAGTTAAGGAATGTGAAGGGTTCTGGGTTGGAAATAATTTTAGTGATGATGAGATATAAATTTCATGTTGATATGCTTTATTAATTGATTAATGATTGAATTGGTGATCGGGCTGCACTTTGGACACCTTCTTGAGGTCAAGGTTTGGATCCTGTGCCTAGACTTTTGGACCGGAAAATAAAATTGGTAATCGGGCCCATTATAGGATTGGGCCTGTTCAATCCACCTGAATAACTTGCCGAGCTTGACAATTGCCAGGCTCTCTCTGAATGCTTATTAATAAAATTGGTGATCGTACATTTTATTGTTGGATTTGGCCACATAGATTAAATCAAAGTATAAGTCATAGAGCTATAAAAATCTAAATTAGTTTAAACAATTAAATTTTCATGGAGCGGTCAACATGTAAGTCTATATTGAATAATCCTCTCGTAAATCTAGAGATTTACTCCAAATAAACTATCATGTCTATGATAAATCATAAATATTTATAATTAAACTACGTAGAATTTTACTCACATTGAGTAAAGTATTTGCTAGAGTAAAAGAAAATGTTAAACTGTATGGTAAAAAAACAATTAAATAAATTAAAAGTTGATAAAGAAAACATGTGACAAATAAAATGTGTTGAAAACAAGTAGATTATGCAATGAAAAAAGCATACGATAGAACATATAACGGAATCAATGAAGTTACAAAAAGTATATTAAAACTGAAAACAATAAACTTATAAAAAGTATATTGTAAGAAAAATAAATTACTACAAACTTGAGAAATTTTGCATTGAAATTAATCATTATATCGATAATAACAATAACACTAACAATAATAATAATTTAGCTATTTATACCATTCTAAGACCTAAAACATAAATAAAAAGGGGAAAAGATTATTGACTTGGAAATCAATCTCTAACTAGAAAAAAATACTAAATGTGATAAACATTAATGTTTAAATCCGAGAAGGAAACAAGAATCCTAAATAAAATAAAACTTTTAAATCCCTTACAAAAGAATAAAAAGAAAATCTTAAACTATATAATTTATAAAGTCTTTTAGAATAATCTTAATGTAAATTTTCTCAAATCCAAATTTGAAAAGTGCAGAACGACCATATATATATATTATATGTATATATATATTGCGACGTAGTCATCTTAAATATCAGCCATATCAATTGCCAAGTTCCCATTAGATAAGTACTCATGCACACATATTTATAATTTAAAATATATATTCTAGACATCAACAATTTCGTGACATGAATCACAAATCCAAATGGGCATGTTGACTTGGGTGAGAATGATGACGGTGGTTGTTAAGGGTGATTTTCCCCTTCCATCAAAACTAGGGTAATTGAAATCAAAGTGATGTGAAAAGCACATCATCATTTCTGTAGCCAATCTTGGACGTCATTATAGGCTAAAGATAGAGTTAATTGCGAGGATGAAAACTCCTCCACATGGTAGAAATTATATGGAGTTGGGTGCCTGATCAGAATGATTTGAGTTTGTTGTGGCTGTGGCCCATGACATCAATTCTCTTCTTAATTAATTTGTAGCCCCTAGGTTCCATGTTGCAGAACCTTTATAGAGGTGGTTATTGAGACTTGGGTCTTTACGTGATTATGCCTGTACTCTTGGGAACCCAGAAATCACTGCCTGCCAAGTTGATAGAAATCTGAAATCGCAACTTACATTGACCATGGCATGGCTGGTCAAGTGTAAATATCTCATCTTCTTCTTCATCAAGACGATAATTAATTGTTTTAAAAGAGTGTTATTTAACAAGTACTTAGTTAGCATGCCCAAGACCACCACTCGCTGGAGTGTCCTTCGTCTTCGTCATGGTGGAGGTGTCACATCTTCATCAAACTATTAACAATCATGTTTTTGGTTCTTATCACCTCTATACGTTTTTATCTGTATGTTTTGTTTCCATGACTTTTGCCCTTTTCTCTGGCACCTTCAAATTAAGTCAAAAGGAGTTCACGCTATGATTACCTCATGTTATATCGGACAAGTACTGACTGCCTACAAAATCCGATGAGATACGGGGAGTCATGCGATGGAAAAGAGTTCACCTTCAAATTAGCAGTATAAGAAAAGGTAGCCGGTAACAGTTTTGATCCATGAAAATCTGTTTCAAGACAGTAAAATCCAAATCAAGTTCACTTAACAGGCCAAACAGATCTAACTCAAACTTGAATCCAGTGCTGCGATTGCCAAACAATCAATAATGGAGTCCTAATATGCTAAACAGAGAATGGTGAATCTAAATTTGTTCACTTACACTGCAAGAGCACCATTAAACAAAATAATTGACTCACAACCAGTCTGATCCAAATTGTTTTACTTGAACTCGGTCTATCAAACCTTATTTTTAATGCAAATTCAGATGTATTAAATTAATCACGAACTCACAACTGTCATGCTGTTTTAATGGGAGTAGAAGTAGTGTTGAGGCATATTATAATCACACTAATTTATGCCTTCTGGCCTTTCCATGTTAAAAGAGATTGGATCCAAAGGTTCTTGTCGTCAAACTTATAAGCACCCACATGACACATAAGTGTTATTACAATTTAGAACATCAACTTACATTTGTGCCAAAAATCTGAAACATAAAGGTAGAGAAGTCACAACAAGAAATTAAGCACATCGGGCTGGAGTTATTAAATAAGGTAAGATGGCAGTACATAATTTATCTAATCCTAATCATAGTTATTTGGCTCGGTCCCTAATCAAATCAAACCCCATCTCAGTTGGGTCGGTTGCTTGGAGTTCATAGTGGATGCCTTCAAGCACTCTCCTTAATCCATCCTTGGAAGTTGCATAAAGCATTTTTGCTCTGATTCTTGATGCTGTTGGAGCCCTGAAATTAATCCAAATTCACTAGATTCGTTAGCAACCCAATAATTGTCATGTGAATTGAGAAAAGTATAAATAATGGGATATTTCACATCATTACACATATATTATGCTTCCAGAAAACCCAACCCTTTTATCTACATGTGAGACTCAAGTCACCATTAATGACAACATACCTGTGGAGGAGACGGCGTTGATCATCAACCCACTTTCTTCTAAAACTCTGAAAGTTCCCTACTGATTAATCAAAATCAAAATAATTGTCCCTCCCTAGCTAGTATTATTGCCAACATTGACTTGCCACATTTTTCTACGTTCAAATTTGAGAATAACGATCCACGTTAGTCATTGTTAATCATTTCTTAACATGGTAAGGCAACAGTTTTTTTCTTAATAACTGGTATATATATGCTCTCATTGTTAATCATTTCTTAACATGGCAAGGCAACAGTTCAGATCCAAGCCTTGCTCTTTTTTCTTAATAACTGGTATATATATGCTCATAGTTGTATTCTTTTCTGACATAAAATGGGGACCTATTGTTACCTATTTGGGTGCGAGGAGGAAGCAAGACTCTTAAAATACTCAGTAATTGTTTGTGTGTGTGATTGACAAGGGGCAAAAAAGTGGCTCATGTCAATCCTATTGTGAAAAGGGGCAAAAAAGTGGCTCATGTTGATCCTACTGTGATGATAATTCATAAACAAAGAGTCTACAGAAGAAGGGGACGGACCATGCAATGAAGAAGATCTTGCTCTTCCGGCAATTATCAACAGTGACAAAATCGAAATCAAACACAGCATATCTGCAATCATCACCCGGTAATGAAGCAGCAAGATCAGCATAGCTCTCACCAGGGCCACCAACCTTGTCCACGGTGACCAACCTTGACTTCTCATCAATCTTGAACACTATGTACCTATGAACTCTCTTCCATTTCATTTGATGAAATGAATTCTTGCACTCATCAGTCACCCACATGCCAGTTGTTGCCTGTCATTACCATGTATACAAAACAAAGACACGGATATATGTTAGGAACATTAACATCTTACAGTAAGGAGTATAAGAGGAGGAGATGTTGCTATACCATCTTGAAAGCCATCGCCATTGCTGCTGAACTGGAGGAGAAGTGCGAGTGATGTTTTCTTGCGGGGGTGTGGGTTTAGGCATGTGGCATTGGTCTTTATATAAAGATGTTGCTATAGAATTGCCACTAGTATTCGAAAATATTACAAATCTATCCATATACTAGATCTATTTATATGTTCGATGACCAAATTATTCTCCATATATATTTTTATGATTGGTTTTTTTTAATCAATAATTATTTTTAATTTAACCATTTTTATTCATTTTACTTAGACTATGGAATTAGAATGATATAAAAAATGTGCTTTTAAAATCTTTTGAAAATGAGATTTAATCTTAGTTATCCTTATAAATTAATCTAAAAATATACATGAAGAAAATTCATTTAATTGACCCAATATGGTAATTCCAACATAATATTTGAAAAAAATGGCATAATTTTGGAAGTCGGTCCAGGGTAATTTTTAGTTGGCACCCTTAAATTTCTTTGTCCTTTTACTATCTATAGCTAACAAACAACTCATTATTGAAGCGGTTTAAACCGGGAGTTACTTGGATAATAATCCAAAACCTTCATTTAATAAAAACTTTTAAAAATAAATAAATTATATTTGCCAATATATTTTGTAAAATAAAGATTGGATCCGCTTAAAAGAGGCTTCAAGTATAAAATGAAATTTTTTCGAAGTTTTATTTGTAGATATACATAAAAAAATATTTCTTAAAATTTTTAAAATACTTTATGTATAGTCTTGTCCAAGACTTTCATTCACCCTAAACCAACTCTGCACTATATATTAGTTGAATTGATTTGGAATTGTCAAAAAAAAAATCCCCTATTTCTTTTTAAAAAAAATAAAAAAATCTTACCCTACGATTGTATTTTAGACAAGTTTTGGTTATTCTCTTAAAATATTAGAGATAAGATAATATATTTTTATGTAATACATGTTTTAAAATAATAAAAATTATGTGGATATAAATTTATTTTATATCTGTCTCTTCAACCAAATATAATTTTATTCTTATTATCTTTATTTATTTATTTTAGAGTAACAAAACACTATCTTAATATAATATAAAACATTTTTCTCTTAAAAAAATAAAAAATAGCATGAAATAGTTACAATTTAGTCCATGTCCAGCTACCAGTATTGTAATCAAGTCCCTTATTTACCTTATATAAAAATAAGGATGATGCAACTACGAATGTGTGTTGATGGATGATGCTTTGTGAATCCTAAACAAACATGAAATAGATTTTTTATATAGTTTTCCAGTTCAAAGATCCCTTAGATATTATTACCTGTAATACATAGATTGAGTAAACAAATAATCTTGTAATACATAGATTGAGTAAACAAATAATTAATTGCTTATTCCTAAACATTCTTAACGTGAAAAGAGATTACTTATAGAACATTTATATATAGAAATTAATCAGATTAATTCGAAAAGAGATTACTTATATTCCATCAATGGAATAATCAAATAATTGCCTCGAGCAAAGTTGGTTTAACATTGAAAGTTGAATGAAGAGAATTTACTATGCAGATCCAAGGTTTATTTTACCTGAGATCCCAGCACTGTGAAAACATTTTATTTGGTAATTGAATAATTATTTTTTTTCTTGATGTGCGGTGGAGGGCGTAGCTACTGGACTGGCTTGGGACTGATTTAAAAAAAAAATTGTTTGGATTATCAAATCAACTGGGATTAATTATTATTATTATTATTATTTAGAGTTGATCTAACCATTTGAAACGAGTTTGTCAATCAAGTTTTATCTTCTTTTTTTTATTATTCATTTAAAATCCTATTAGAATCTGAATTTAGATTATGAATTTTTCAAATCAATTTATCGGACTAGGCTGATTAAACATCTATGGTGAAGGGATTATTTGGCAAAAAAATTGAAAATTGTGACCTTCGTTGGGCTTGCTGTAAAAGTGAAGGAGCATAGCTACAATTAACCAGGTGCGTTGTTCACCAACTTGCTCAATTACATGACCATTTCCAAGTTACATAAACTAAGCATGTACTTCTATTTTATTTTATTTTTGCTGAAATAGGGTCTTAAAGCCCAAGAATCCATTAAAACGAGGATAAATAAACCATATCAGATCATAATATAAGATCGAAAATAGACCCTCAAACAGGTTAATTAATTAATAGAAACTCCCAGTTCAAAAGATTTTTCATCAAACTAAAATTAGCTAACCGGTTCGCTGGCGACTTAGCCTGCAAAAAGACATGAGATATGGTTACTTCTACCATGCTTTACTGCATATGAACATAAGCTATGCGAACAATACGGTGGTCCCAATCTCGGATCACACACCCACATCCCCTTCTCCCTGTCTTCGTGTTCCTCAAACTCTAGTCTTTGCGTGAAAGCAAAGGAGCGAAGAGATGGAGGAAAAGAACCACAGAAAAGACTGTCAAAACTAAAGAGTAAAAGCTTCTTGGTGCATATGAAAGCGTGAAACCATTGACCCTCGGAGGTTTTTCTAACTTGCTTGGTAAATAATAATATTTCCAAGTTATCATCGATCTACCTTGTAATTTAATCCAAGAGTAGCATGAACATTAATTCAAAGTTTCTTTTTTTTTTTTGGTGGTGAAAACTGTGTATGCAAGTTGAAGATTTCATCTCTCCAAGATTTTGAGTTTTCCCACAAGCTTGTCTAACAAAAGTATGGTAGATATGATCAACATTCCAACAAATCATCCCATAAAATAGTATAAGCGCATGCTTATCCAAGATTCCAGATAAAGATGGGCTAGTTTGGTATTCGAGACAGTACAAACACTAAAATCTTCCAAAACCGCAAGCAAAAGAAGAAACGGACGTCCACAGGGCGACATGCCCCTCATGGTGTGGCCCTCTTCTGTGGAAATTAGTAACTCTACACGTCCCACAACCAGTGGCCAAGAGTTATTTGTTCATAGAATGTCTGGTCATTACTGCTTACAAGTGTCATGCCATGGAAAAATATGGGGAGGCCACGGTGTGGTTTTGGAATGGTTACTAGCTGTCCCAGCCCCATGAATCCCTCGCTTGGTTCCTGGCTTCTTCTTAATGGAACCACTCAATTTGGCGGAGCACCTAAATCCTTGCACAGGGTTATGAATTCGGCGAATCTCGCAGCCACTCTTGAAAAAGATTGATGGCCCCGCCTAGTGAAATAGAAGATTGACGTGAGTGATTTGGCCGTGTTTTATGTGTTTGGCAAGGCCATCTAAACATCAATGCCTGATGGAAAATATTGAGGAGAAGATGGCCGTTAATGATTGATATAGATAGCTTAGGTAAAGGAGCTAATCTGATATCTCAATTAATTAACTTAAAATTCTCACATCCAGAATAAACCTTTTGTCTAGCTTTTATGCATCTGGCGGTAAAATCACTAATGGCTCATTCCTTGGATGTGATTGGACTAACAAAGAAAAAACCTAGCAGTTTCTGTAGAGGCTTAAAGCCGATAACCGCTCTGCCTCCAGTCTTGCTAACAGCGGCAATGCCTCTTCCCATACAATTTCTGAACAGGGCAATCTGGCTTGTGCTATTGTTTACCCCCTGTCAAAGAGGGATCCAGGCAGACTCTCACCAGATTATTGACCTGGCTGGCGACATTATTTCACACAATCAGGATTGGGGGTGGGAAACGAATGGGGAGAATACAAGTCAGAGTGACATCAATGAAATGACCTAAAGCAGTTTCAATTTTGACATCGAGCCCTTGTTTCCTTCCCAATCAGCAACCATAAAGTGCGCCACTGTATTGCATAACGTTAAAAAGCATAATGACAGCAATTCTAACATCCTACTCCAATATCCAGCCTATTCAAGTGACAATCATTAGAATTGGAAAACGAGTAGTAAATTCAACATGTGTTTCTATCAAGTCTGCTTTTCATTCATTCTCATCAGTGCAATGTGGTTTGTGTCACCAGCAAAGAAGCTTTCTTTCATGAAGACATGTCAAGCACGTTTCACTTGTCATCACTTGGTGGCTTATCTTCATCCTTCTTTTGTCCGGACTGGTAGCAACGAATAAAAAGTCAGACACATGCATTGCAAATGTTTGACATAATGAACAGGCTAAATAAAAAGCATTACTCAATTGAAATGCAGGTTATGTTGTCTGAATTTCATGAACACACCTCAGATTGGCCTTGGAAAGATGCTAGCAGCTCCTTCACTGAGGGATCGTTAGGGTCAACTCCTGGAAGCTGTTAAGAGGAATAAAATGTCAGAAAGAAAACAACATGCGCTGAATGTGATTCATCAAGGAGTTCTTTATAGGCGGGTTCAAAGACTACTTACTGATGCAAGGACAGATGACACAAAAGACTGATCCTCCAGTGCCTTGCTCATGTCTGACTGACTTGATGAATCTTTTGCGGTTTCCTGAATGGACATCTGAAGAGCTGCATGCAAGATATATTCAGTGGATCAAAGCAGGTTTCACCAATTAAATTTGAAAATCATGGCATCAGAACAAAGTTGACAAGTGTTTGAAGCTCTGGCACACAGCATGGCAAGGCTAAAGAAACGTTTAATGTCAATTTCCCTGTAACTAGGGCAAAAATGATATGTGTTTACCTATAAATCTGGAACCTGAAAAAGAAAAATCAATGAACAATCATAAAAAAAAATCATAACTACACAAATACCAGACGAAGTTCCAGAAGAAATGGAATAGTTGCATATTTTTTGGGTGCATTGAAACTTGCTAGTTGATTCAAAATTGAATTGCATGCAAATCCCATAATTGTTGGTTTTTTAATAACGCATTCTCCTTCCTGAATTCTCTTACCCGCAATACAAGTGAAAAACAATCATGAAATACTAAAGTAATATAAAAATCAATGTAAATATATCATACAAGAATCAATCAGAAATCAAATTTAGCTTTGAGCTCCCACCCAAGTGTTCATGTAGCAAATAATACATAGAAGCACTTTTGCATATATGAATTTAGAGAAGCCATAAGCAGAGAGAAATTTGAAGTATCAGCAGGCCTTTTAAATGGAACAGAACTTACCCA